ACTGAAGGGACAGGCCGGATGCCGCAATGAAGTGTGAGAGATGTTGTGTGGGCTGGTGGAGCAGCAAGTTCTCTTTTTTTCTCATTATTTTCTGCTATTTTTGCGGGGAAGATGTATACACAAACACACGGTCGTCTATATTGTGCTGCATGTCACATGAAATAAAATTACGACCTAATCAATTTTATTCATTCTTTCCGGGAGTCTTGCCGGACTCTTAACCCAGCTTTTCCTTTTTTAAAATTTCTGCCTTGCGGTGCGGTGTGTGTTTCCCCCCTCTTTACTGATTCCAACTGCCTCATGGTGTGTGCAAGCTGCTATCATTTCTCACTGTGCGCGGCTTTTTGATGTGTCTCTCCTTTTTGCTTTCACTCTGCGTTGACGTGTTGTTATTTTGTGCTTAAAGCTACACGCAAGTGACAGGAGTGATGATGATGACTGGCCGTGTGCTGCTGGTGTGTGCCCTCTGCGTGCTGTGGTGCTGTGCCGGCGGTGGTGGATGCTCTGAAGCAGCTCCAGTCGTTCCGGGTACTGGTGTGACCGGTAACGGCAATAATCCTGAAAGTAAAAACAACACAACTGATGGCGTTGGAGGAGATGGCCAAACTGGTCAAAAGGCAGTTACACAACCAGCAGCAGGATCGGTGCAAAAAGTACCGGGAACGGAAGCGGAATCGGCACCAAAACCCGGAGCACAAGTTTCAGGAACGGCAGAAGAAACGATAGAAAAAAAGGACACAACGAAAAAAGAAGATGAAGATGAAGAGGAAGGGAAGGATGAGGACAAGGAGGAGGGAGAGGAGGACGATGGAGGAGAGGAGAAAAAGGAAAAGGAAGAAGATGATACAAGCACCACAGAGGGGAAGTCAGCGATCGGTCAGGAGGAGCCAATTTCACCTTCCGGTACAGTGAAAGCATCGAATAAAACACAACCCCAAAGCACTCAAACAACTGGCGACAAAGATCAAGCAGCTGATGGTGCAGGGACACAAGAAGAAAAAAAAAATGAAAATAAAGAAGCCAATCCGAAGGAAACAACAGTCGAAGCCACAGCCATGAAAACCACAACGGCGACGACTGGCGACAGTGACGGCAGCACCGCGGTCTCCCACACCAAATCCCCTCTTTTGCTTCTTCTTGTTGTTGCGTGTGCGGCTGCTGCTGCGGTGGTGGCCGCGTGAGAGTGAGGGAGAGAGCCGTGCACCGCCCGCACACAAACTCTTCCTTCTCTCTCTGTGTGTGTGTCCCCTTGCATGGACTCTCGCCCTCACCTCACCCCACGACGCACACACATAATGTGCCCATTGTATATATGCATGCACACCCATGCAGGCCCGTTGGTGCTCTCTTTTGCACGACACGCACCGCTGCCGTCCTGCCTGGCTGCATGGGCGGAGCACCGTAACTGTTTCTGTTTTGTTTTTATTGCATTGAGTGGGCGACCTCTCTCTCTCTCCCTCTGTGTGTGTGTTTTGCTTTACGGGAGTAATGAGAGTTTGTGCTGGTCGTCCCACGCTTCGGCTTTTTGTTTCTCTTTTGTTTTGAATCTTTGCGTGTGTTTTGGTTGGGTGCACCCATTTTACTTTCATTGATTGGTTTTCTTCTTAATGTGCGGATGGCTGAATTCTCCCTTTTGTATTCTCCTGTTGTTTGTTTCTTCCCACGCAATCGGTCCTTGTTGCTTCAGCGAGCCACGAAATATTTGCCTAACACCCACATCAATGGTTTATTTTCTCTACACCCCATATTAGTTTGAGACGCTGGTGCTGCTGCATTTGATGGTGCTTATGGTGTGATTGCCAGCGGGTGCTTTGCTGTCACTTTGACGTACCCTCGATTTGTTGAATATGTGATGCGTGCCGACAGCACGAATTGGGTCCGAGTTGTTGTGAGGGACGCACCCTTTTTGAGCAGTTGGTGCGCTGCGGTCATAGACCGTCATTGGGAGGGATGGATGCCCATCCGCATCAACGTATCCACAAGGGACCTGGATGATACCGGGAAGCATTGGATCTCAGAGAGGTACTACGCAATGAATTCATTGAATGACAATTGCGAGTGTGAAGGTGACGTTGTATCCTCTGCGCACGGGATCATTCTTGAGGATGAAGTTGTTCCTGCTGCTTTCAAAACGCATGCGGATCGTCTGCTCGTGCAGCCACTGGAGGGTCCTTTGATTATGCCCCCATTTGCCACGGGCAGCGTTTGCCTTCGGTTTACGGTGCGTGCTGGGCATTGTTCCACTGGTGTTGCCAATGCTGACATGGTGCTGTGCGTGGCAGAGCGCTGTAGGAAGTGGTGCACTCGACGACTGCCGTGATGGCTGCGAGGAGCCCCGCGACTGCGACGACATTGATGGCATGGAGCTGCAGGATGGCGATGGTGACGGGAGGACGCTGGAGTCGCACTGGTCGCAGCGCCACGCGAAGGATGAGTGGATGGCACCGATTGTTTGTGCCGTCTGCCGCACGGAGTTGACGCTGGCCGCACCGGCTGACCTGGGCTGCATGAGGGTGAAGTGGGAGATGGCGGAGCCGATGCGCTGGTGAAGGAATTCGTGCTGTGTGCTGCTGCAGAGGAAGTGCTCCGCACCGAACATGAGTGAATATCCCCAGATGTTCTGAAAAGCGGGCGTTCATGCCAGACAATGCACGTTGGATCGGTATTCCAGTGGTTGGTGTGTAGACGAATTATCCATGAGGGGTCAGCAAAACGCCCGATGGACAGTTGCCCCATCATTGGTCCCGCACTGGATGTGAGAGATGCTGCCGCTGTTATTTGGAGGGGAGAATGTTTGTCTGCGGTGCCTGGGGACAAGCCCTCTTCGTGGTGTCTGGACACGCTTCCCACCAACACGACGGATGCGAGGGACCCGGAAGAAAAATACATCTCGGTGCTGTCATGCATGCGGCATTGCGGTGTCTCGGCATGCGGGTGCGTCTGAGAGTGACTGAAGAGGGTAACGCCCGTTGTGCCCCATGCACGGCCGAGGCGACGATTACGTGGGTTGCTCCGTCCTACGACGAGGGAAAAGCTATTTTCCGTGACCACGCGCAGGTGTGCACGATATCCGTCACCAGCGGCAGGCTGCTTCCAATATTTTCGTGGGGTGGCGATGTGAGAGGGTGTGGAGCAGGACGGTTTCACTGGCATCTACTGAACAAGCTTTGCTACGGGCATCCGTCCCCGATCCAGAAAGCATTGAGACCGGCCGTGGCACACCACCGAAGTATGTGGACACGGCTGCTCCCCAGAAGCATCCGTCGCCAGAGGAGAAGGAGGTCGCCTCAGGTGCCACGACGGCAACGGAGTGCTCTTGCCCAGCGACACCGCGGGTGCGCCGCAGGAGGCGGAGAAGAAGAACGATCTTCCGGACATCGACTATGTGGCCGCCGATGGTGTGACGTCTGTTGTCGGACAATCATTAGGAGATGAGGCCGTCAGCGACAAGGCCGGTGGCGGTGCCACAACCACGGGACCAAGGGCCCTGGTGCCGCTGATGACGCGCAGGGCGCCGTGGACCCTCCGCCGAGGGAGGATGATGCGGCGGTGGTGCGCGGGGTTGGGAGGCAGACATGAAGGACGCCCCGCCCCCGATCCACGGCAGTAACACTGCGGCTGCTGCTTGTCCCTTTCCGCTGCTTCTTCTGCTTGCTGCTGCCGCCGCGGTGCCAACACTCAGCAGTGGGTGCAAGAGAGAGAGGCCTATATCAACTGGCATGTCCCTGTCAGTATATACATACACTCTGCTTGTCTGTATATTTTTTACCAAGGACATGCTGTATGCACTCTCCCTCTTTTGTGTTGGTTGCTAATGTGGCGGCACCACGCGTGCATTATGGGTTGGGATAAGAAATTGTTTGACTTCTTCCGGAGGATACTGTGGGGTGTTTGTGTGCGTGTGCGAGGGATCTGTGAGGTTTTGATTTCCCTATTTTTATTTGCCTGCTTTGGCATTGTGTAATGATACTTCCCTTCTCCATTATGTGTGTTCTGAAGTGTTGCTAGGGCACCGGGAGTGGATGCCTGTGGACGCACGCCGTGCATTATGCGCTACATTGGTGCGAGGGGAGACTGACATAACTGGCGGGATTCAGTAAGGCGCTTTTTGCCCACAGACCCTGCAGCTGCAGCAGCCTGAGTGGCGCTTTGCATATGGACGTGTGGATTGTTTTTCTCTTGCGAGGCCTTTTTTACTGCGTGTCATTTTCCGCTCGGGTACCGTGCCCGTGGCAGCAGCGGCGGCATAAAAAGGACTGTGTGCGTGGAGCGTCCTTGATCGAGTGCCTGCCTTACTTCTCTGTTCTGTTGATTGATTGTACCGTGTGCCGTCCAAACGGTTGGCATGACGTTCTTCTGACGGCGGGGTCCGCGTGAGACGATGTTGCGTCGCGTGCTTTGTTGCGGGTGTGTGATTTCCGCAACGGTTTTTGGGCGGTTGACTGTTGGGTCGTTGAGGGCGGCGTGGCGACGGGTGCGGATGGACCCGATTGTGTGCCGTGGCTGCTCGTGGGGGGGAGCCGCGGGAAGGAGGAAGGCAGCGGAGCGATGGACTCACGAGGAGTGCGGTGGCGTGCAGCCATGAAGATTGGTGACAGGGAACTCACTGCCGCTGTGAGTTGCCGTGTGTGGTGTTTGTTTCTGTTATTATTACTTGCGTTGTTGGATGTGGCCGCTGTGGGGGAAGACTGTTTTTTGTTTCTTTTTCACGCCTTTTTGGGATCCCTTTTCTGCACCGGCATCACTGTGTTCCTGCCGTACTGTTGCCCCCTCTTTCCCTTCCATTTTGGGGCAGCTGCGGGTGGGTTTTACATGCCGTGGAGCTGTGTGCCGTGCTGTCCGGTGTTTCATTGTTGCCTGTTCTTCCTGCGTGCACGCGTCCCCCATGCTCATGACAGCAGCCCTCATGCAAACGCTACTCCTTTTCCATGCTGCTGATTTGTGTGTGTTCTTCTCCTCTTCCTCTCTTTGTCCCTCCCTAGACTGTGTGTGCAGCCGTGATGATGATGATGACTGGCCGTGTGCTGCTGGTGTGTGCCCTCTGCGTGCTGTGGTGCGGTGCCTGCGGTGGTGGATGTTCTGAACTAACTCCAGCTCCTCCGGATTCTTCGGGTATTCCGTCCGAAAATAACACTCAAAAGAACGCGACCGTCGTTGTCACTGGAGGAGGTGGTCGAAGCGGTGAACAGGCACCGCCTAAAGTAACAGCAACAACGACGTCAGAACCACAGAAAGCGCCAGCGAGACCGTCACCGGCACCACAACCCGGAAGTGAAGTATCAGAAACGGTAATTGCAACGAAGGACAACAATAATACAAATACAAAAGGTAAAAAGGAGGAAAAGGAAGAAGAAGACGAAGAGGAAGAGGAAGAGGAAGACGAAGAGGAAGAGGAAGAGGAAGACGAAGAGGAAGAGGAAGAGGAAGACGAAGAGGAAGAGGAAGAGGAAGAGGGGGAACCGAAAGAAGAAAAAAGCAACGATAAGAAGGAAGGAGAGGAGAAAAAGCATGAAGACGCTGTTACCGGTACCACAGAGGGGATGTCAGCAGGCGGTGAAGAGCCGCCAATTATATCTTATGGTGTAGAGGAAGCAGCGAATCAAACAAATCTCAAAAGCACACAAAAAACTGGAGACGATGATCCAGCAGCTGATGGTGCAGGGACAGGAGAGGGAAAACAAAATGAAAATAAAGATGCCAATCCGAAAGAAACACCAGTCGAAGCCGCAGCCATGAAAACTACGACGGCGACGACTGGCGACAGTGACAGCAGCACCACGGCCTCCCACGCCACCTCCCCTCTTTTGCTTCTTCTTGTTGTTGCGTGTGCGGCTGCTGCTGCGGTGGTGGCCGCGTGAGAGTGAGGGAGAGAGCCGTGCACCGCCCGCACACACACTCGTCCTTCCCTCTCTGTGTGTGTGTCCCCTTGCATGGACTCTCGCCCTCACCTCACCCCACGACGCACACACATAATGTGCCCATTGTATATATGCATGCACACCCATGCAGGCCCGTTGGTGCTCTCTTTTGCACGACACGCACCGCTGCCGTCCTGCCTGGCTGCATGGGCGGAGCACCGTAACTGTTTCTGTTCTTGTCCTCTTATGATTGTTTTAAGTGTTTTTAATTTTTCTTTGCTGTTTGCTTTAAAATATTTTAATGTTTTTCTTGTTTTTTTTTTGGTTTTGCGAGTGTTTTTGTTTATTATTTTTTTTTTGCTTTTGTTTTTTGTGTGTCTTTTATTCAAAAATATTTATTGCTTTTTTTGCTTTTGGGGCAATCACTATGGACGTGTTTTCTTTTCTACTCTTCCCTTTTTAATTGTTTGTTGCTGCACTCTTCCTGTGAGGGGTGCCGTGTGCTTCCGCCCAACTGCTCCACTCGCACACCCACCGACACGCTCATGACGACGGCCCTGTGCGCCTCGCCTGCTGCACGCATGAGGCGGGGCCGCGACGAACGGCGCGCTGAGGGAGCCGTGACGTGTGGGCGTGCGACGAGGGCCTGTGGGGCGGAGCACACATTTCTTCCCTCTTGTTTTGTTTTCTTTGCGGCCAGGGTGGGCAGACACCCGCAGCGCCACACACACAGCCACACCCTGCCGCCGTGTTTTAAAGATTTTTTTTTCTTTTGTTTTTGTTTTTGTTTTGCGTGTTTGCTGCCACCGTGCGTGGTTGTTGAAGTTGGGGCCGTGCCGCATTTATCGCTGCTCTCCAGCTGTGCCTCTTGCTGTGTTGATGTGCCTCCCTGTGCTCCTCTTTTCAGCTTCTCCAACAGACACACACACGCATAAGCAGTTGCACAGTGCTCTGCAAGAATTTGTTTGCTTTGCTGGGTGCGTGTGTTGCTCGGTGTGTGCTGGCGCGTGACGGACGGTGCCACGATGGCCTTCTCTGACGATGACAGTCGCTGTGCTCTCGACACATCCACACACTCTTCCTCCCTCTCTGTGGGAGTGATTGCGGCAGGAGAGTGGTCTACGGCAGCTGGTGTCTTGGAGAGGGACGAGGTGCCGAGGAACAAGAGGGCGAAACTGCTGGACGAGATTACGATGACGGATGAAGGATTTTCTAAGTTCTTTTATTGGCTTCTTCAGAAGTGCGGCGTGCCGCCGCCTTACAGGATGCCTGCACTCGGCACACCTCGAGGCATTGTTTTGTTTCATTCAGTGTGATGTCACACTTATCATGGCAGCACCTTCCCTCGCCGGCTTTGGGTGTGACAATACGAATGGCGGCAAAAACAGCGATGAGGATTATGACGGTTTGCACCGAGGGGCGGATTATTCGCGTGTCTTTGTACACGAATCCCAGGAGGGTTTGGCTGCCGTCTCCACAATTCCCGCCTTGCGGAACCGTTGGCTTTCGCGCTGTCACCCGCCGTAATTAGTGCCCCATGCGTTGGGGCTGATCCATTTACCGTGGAGTTCACGCAGCAGCTCTCGAGTGTTTGTGCTGCTGATCCCGCGTTGGCCCTTTCGCATGTATTTCAGCGTTGCCTGGCGTGTGATTTAATGTCTGTGTTGTCCGGGCCGCTGCCTCGAGTTTTCTTTTTGTGCCCAATAAGAAGCACTTTGCGTTGCGGTGGGTATTTATTTGCGTAGCCGTCGACGCGCGTGACGATGCTCAACGGGTGTGTCTTTTGTTTGGTGGGCACGAGGGAGACTTCGGTGTGCGCTGACAGCACCGCGAAATTCTTCGTCGACGGATCGAGGCGAAAATAAGGGGGGTCTGTCCGCTGCATCTCTCAAGGGTGGCTGCGGGGCACTCCGGACGCACAGAGTGAATGGATGGATGCCGCGCAGCTGGGGAGACCAGTTGTCTTCTCCCTCTGTTGCCGGGGGAATCAATAATCCACAGCGCCACTGCCAGCTGCATTTTACTGCTGGGGATCGACTGTTCTGAAGTTGCCCGTCTAATGTGAATCGCAGCGTCAGTGCAGGAAGACGCTTTCACGCATTGCGAGTAGCTGCTCCAGCCTCGAGCTCATCAATATTAACAGCGGGGAGCAATGCACTTTGGTGGCCGGTGACGTTCAGACGAGTGTGTTTCACTTCACCCGCCGCTCGCTGCCCTCTGCTGACGGTACAGTTGTTTGGCTCCGCCAATAATGCGCTTGTGAAACGTCCTCTCCGCACGCTGCGGGATTATTGCCGTGGAGGAGTTGATGGCATATGGTGCGGGTGTGGCGTCGACAGAGTCATTCACGCATTGTTTTAGAAACATTACTTTGAGTCGTGTCAGTCACGCCGTGTTTCCCTTTTTTCTTGCTGGGATTCTTGTGGGTGTGTTTGAGCCCCTTTAGGAGCCTGCGTAGAGAATGATCGCGGGAGAGCTGGCTGCCTTAATGAATGCGTATATATACCCTGACAAAACGAATATACACTTCTTTACGACACTTTTCTGCCGTATGAGTTTTGGGAGGCCACGACTTTAGGGAGCCGACAGCGGCCGGATAATTTTTATTTTTATTTTACCGTCTCACCCGCCCCCTTTTGGTTCCACCACGCGGCGGGGTCTTGTGGCTGCAGGGCCCCAAAAGTCTGCCACCTCGTAAGTAATACATAAATACATGTATCCCATCCGAATAGAGTGAGCGGGCCACGATTGTGGCTGACGGATGGTATATAAACATACAGTCACCTGGTGTTAAGCCTTTGAGGGTGTGGTGAATCCACTCTTATTCCGTTGATCCCTCACATATTTCCATCGTGTTTGGTTTCTATTGTTGAGAAACTCAGAACTTGGCCAGCGGCCCGGAAGATTATTCTTTATTGCAGCACTTTACCAGCGAAAGGCAGGAACAACACAAACCGAATTATTGGCTGCACCAACACAAGAAACATTCACAAGAGGAAAAAATAATAATTGTTGTGCACCCTGCAGAAATCCCCAACACA